TTTTGTTGCTAGTTCATCAAGAGTCAAAGTAGAAATTGGTTTTGTGAATATTGCATCATATTTGCCTTTAATAAGAATATAAATGCATCAAGAAAGATTCATTTCATGTTTTAGTATTTTCTTTGTGATAGGTTTTATAAGATGTTTTAAATATATTTTTAATAAGTGTAGATGAGTTATGTATAGTTTGTAGTATAAAGGTTTTCTTTAAATTAGTATTAGTTTCCTTTGTTTTTCCATTTGTATCATATCAGTTGGTTCAAGATAGGAGCATTTAGAGTCTGTACAGATGAGTATATGATAATTAGTATATCTAAAAGTTTCATGATGTCATTCTTAAAGATTATTTGGTTTTATGAATTTGATATTAGTAGGTAGAAAGTTTTTTAAATACAAAATAAAGTGTTGTTTGAATTCATATTTAAGATAGTTAGATACTATGGTTTTGTTAATTATATTAAAAAATTGTCGGCTATATAATGGAAAAGCTTTCTTAAACCATTTATTAAAATAACTGAACAAATTTTTAAGTGATGATATATTATATTTGTTAAGGAAAAGAGATTTTAGGAGATTAAAATTTAGTTTAATATTAAATTTATTATCTATTTTGATGAAAAGTATTGTTGTTCTTTATCAAAGTTAGTAATCTCAGATGTTATCTTAAACCTTTTAGGTCTGAGTTTGATATCTTCAGCAAATTTTGTATAGTTGATTGCTTAATAGTTGTTAGAAAAATATAAATATAAATAAGCAAGATTGAGACAAAATTGTAACTGGTTTTCAGTTTTAATTAGTGGAATTATAGCAGAGAAAGCAAATATTTCAGGATAATTGAGTTTGATAAAAAAGACAGTTATGAATGTATAAATAAGTTTTTTAAGACTTTTTTCTAAAATATTGAAAGAAATTGTTGCAGCTTCATCTGTTTTAGAGTTGTGTTTTTGAATTAGATCAATAAAAAATTTTGGTCTAGTACTAGCCATTTGTCTAATCAACAAATAGAAACTAGCTTTAAGTATATATTTAGTTTTTATGACTTCTTTAAGAACTTTACCAGAATAAAAATTATATAAATATTCTTTAAGAAAGTTAAAAAGTTGACATAATATTTTAGTTTCTAATTTAGTATGATTTTGCATTTTATCAGTAACTGAAAAATTTGTTAGCCAGTTAAATGATAGATTGAGTTTAGGTCTTGTTGCTTGACTATAGGATTGTTTATTTGATTTTTGATAATATTGTTGTTGTTTATTATTACTTGTTTTATCTATAATAGGAGTAAGAGGTGTAAGTTTGAAAATAAGAGGATTCTTAATGATAGGTTGTTTTTGATATAGATTTTGTTGTTTTTATTGTTTTTGTTATGTTTGTTTTAGTAATTCTAAGAATTTTTTGTAAATTAAAATTTTTTTTTCTTTAAGTATTGTAATAAGTTTAATTACAAGAGCAGTTTAAATTTGTATAGGAGTAAGTATTTTAGTTTAAATAATAGGTTTGAGTTTGAGTTTGTGAATACATTTAGATTATGCTAGAAATTCTTTAATAATAAGAATAGATTTGTCAAGAAGTAAATGTGTATTATTTTCTAAAAAAGCACATAAGATGTTTTTATTTTGGCAAATAATACAAATATGTGCATAATGAAAATATGCTTAGATTTGGGAAGTTTGTTTCAAACTAAATAAAGTTCCTTGTTGAGTTGTGGAATAGTTCAAAGGAAATGATAAAGGAAAAACAGTAGTTGTTTTGCAATTGGTGATTAAGGAATAATTTCTTTAAGTTGTTTAACTTGTTTAGATATAATGTCAATATCTATATATATAGATTTTTGAGAAGAAGAAGGAGGAGTTGCTTGTCTAGGTAGAATATTAAGATTACTAGAAATAAAAAGAGTATGAAATTTTTGGCAATAACAGTAAATAATGATAGGTTGAATAAGAGTTTTAAAGTAGTAAAAAGATTTAGTAATATTGCATTCAGATAGATTAAATGCAAATGGCATTACTTTAAGTTGTATAGAATATACTTCTTGGATCATTATACTATAATGATTACTGTACTTGTTATGGAAATAATCAAGATCAAAATGATCTGACTCTTGAGTAGTCAAAGTAGGCATTATATTTGATAGAAAAAAGAAAATACTACAGGTATATTTAAAGATGAAAGTTAATATTACTTAGTAAAATTTTTTGTTATTAACTATTGAAGTTTTTAATATATAAAGTTTATAATAGTGAGGGTTGACTTGACATGAGTATGGAATAATATTGCAGCTACTACAGCTGCTGCAGTTTTGTGTAAACTTAGAAAAAAATTGTATAACCTATGTAGTACAAGATGTGACTGGTGTAACAAGTGTGACTTGATGTAACAATTTAGTTACATGTTTTAAAAAAGTCTTGTAATAGTATACAAAATCAAATTAGTAAAAGATGAAAAACTAATAAAAAATTGTATACTATTTTAAGTAATATTAATTGGTTTACTATAAAAATGATTATAGTAATGATTTAATATTATACAAAAATCATGTAAGAGAAAAAAATTAGAGGTAAAGAAAAAAAGAATTTTTTAAGAAGTTTACAAGAGAGTTAAAGTTGTTTTTAAGGTATTTCTATTAATTTTAGGTCTATTAGGTTTATTTAGACCTTGTTTTGATCAGAGAAGTGAGCTCTACAACTTTATTTAGGACTATAGAGTAGGTTATAAAGCTAGTTGTCAAGAAATAACTAAAACAAAAAGTTAAAAGCCTAAAGACCATTCTTACAGTATTAAACTGCAGGTTTGAGAGCTATTTTTTTGAAACTTTCAAAATATATATAAAATTAGAAGTTAGCAAATTTACTTAAGATGCCAAAGTTAGTTAAATTAATAAAAATCCAAATATTAACAATGTTAGTACTAATGGATTTTTAGTTATTTTTGTATAAAAATGATTTACAGAAAGAGTTTTTTTTTGCAATATGTCTAATAATATTACTCATACCTACCAATTTATCATTAATGCCATAAAACCAGTTCTTATCTTCATTAGATAACATGTTCATTTGACCAGCTGTTATACAACCTTATTGATAGTTCTTTACAATACACTCTAAATACAAATACACTTGATAACATTTCAGAAATAATAACCAAACTACACTGCCAAATTAGATAACTTTATTATATAACTATACACAATATAGTAGACTTAATATCAGTTTTTTCAACTTTATCTAACTTAGTGCCATATGAAATTATCTCTATTATATCAAATTTATTATTCAAAAAATTAGTTATAATACTTATTATTAAATTTTTATTTCATCTTAACTAACAAATATATCATAAAATTTAAATTCTTTATTGTATTTTAAGATTAATATCTTATTCTTCTACTTTTAACTTACTTTCAAATTTTATTTTACATTTACCTTTATCTTTTTTTTCTAATTTAATTTATTCTAAAATTAACTTCTGATATATACAATAAATCAAATACCAAACTAATCTTTTATATATAATCACTAACAACCAAATCTAGATGAGTTTTGGTCACTCTTGTTGATTTAGATTGCAGATAAATTAGTCTGAACTTCTACTCTTTTTATAATATTTTTAATAATAATTTATACTTTATGTAAAAATTTCAAATAAATATTCAATAAAGATAGAAGCATGGCCTCACTATTAATATTAAAAAAAAATAATTAATATATTTATTATAACTAATTTTTTGGTTTAAATTTTTATTTTATTAATTAATTGTTTTAAGTAATATTTAATTAACTATAATATAGTAAATTAATATTTAAATATTAATATATATATATTGAATAATGTAAATATTAAACTATATGCAATATTAGTTTTATTTAAGTATTTCTTAAAAAATATAAAAATTACTATTTATATTATTAATCATAATTATATTTTATTGTATTTTATTGTTTTTACATAATAATATCTGACACTAGTTTCAATTCTAACTCTTTCAAAAAATATCAATTAACATTTATAATAAGCAATACTATTTTTTTTAAAAAAAAGTAAGACCTGGTCTCAGTTTTTATTGAGTAATTTGATATTATGTTAATTAAAATGTTTTACATAAATTATTACAAGTACCTATAACTATGACTAGTTTATTCTCACCAAAAACTCTACTAAAGTAGACTATTAAATCTTTTCTAGGTTAGTGTTGCAATGTAAGATGTAGATATATTTGTAATAAAAAATATGATTGTCAATTTTCCATATAATTATAACTATTTGATTTGTAACTAGGTGTTCAGGAGCTGTAATTGTAAGTATATTTGGTAGTAAACTGTTTTAATGCACTGCTTTGCATCTTTTTGTTCATATTAGCAAACAATACTATCAGCATTGAAATAATAATAAAAGGGACATTAAGTCTTATTTTTGCACAAAAAATAATTTACTATGTTGAGGAAAATGCTATTTTACGTTACTAAACTATATATGAATATTTAAATGTATTCGTTTAATATATGCAAATTTAGTTTGCATTTTATATTAGGCAAGTATGTGAGCCTATTAAATATATTTAGAGGAATTTACATCTTGAAAGATAATAAATTCCAGAAAAATTTTCTTATTGTTCTATCAAATCTGATGTTTTATATGAATATACGTTTTGACAAAGATTATTGAAATAACAATGAATTTTTTAAAGTATCAGTCTTGTAAAACGTCATAATTTCTATTTATATTCTTATTTTATTCATCTGTTCTTTAGATATTCTGTTTTTTTTAATACAAAAAGTGTAGCAATAAGAAATCGATAAAATATTAGTCATAATTGGTTCATTGTGTATTACAGGATCACTTATTTATAAGAAATATTTCTCATTGATTATGTATAGCATCAACTAAAATGCTTTGTTATCGTGCAGTGTATACTGTAGTTTGACGATATTAATTTAGGTTGTAAATTCCTAGAGTTTCTGGAAAATGACTATCATTACTAAATTTTGATTCTGTGTAATCAATCATGGAATATTAATTCCACCATCTTTACTTATGTGTTTAACGTTTTCTCTTAAGAATGAAAAAAGTAACATGAAGAACATTGTAACATTGTTAAATAAAAATATTTTAATAAATCTGGAGTTGAAGTCCGTACAAAAAATTGAAATTATAAAAGCAATTTTTTATTATACAAATATAATCAGTCAAAGGCTTTTTCGTGCATATATATATGGTCAAAGGCTTTTTTCGTGCATCTAATTATAGAAACAATTTTTTGTGAAAACCCCAAAAAATTTCTAAATTTAGGAAGTATATACATTAAACAATATAAAATGTATCGAGTTTTTCGTAAATCTTCGTTTAAAATCTTCTAATCGTCATTCGATAAAGTTTTTTTTTTAACAAAGTGGAAAAATATTCATTATTTAATAAGTTCTCTGTGCTTGATCTAAGCCTACCTTTCATTTTCGGTCTTTTTATCATCTATTCGATAATAGAAAGAGCAATGAATGCCATAAAATTTAAAATCCTCGATCCACAGTTAATGTCTGATGCTCTTGAATTAAA